AGGAGGATGTGAGAAGGAGGAGAAATAAGAGGAGGTGAGACAGGAGGAGGTGAGAAGGAGAAACAAGATGAGGTGAAACAAGAGGAAGTGCGAAGGAGGAGAAATAAGAGGAGGTGAGACAGGAGGAGGTGAGAAGGAAAAACAAGAGCAGGTGAGACAGGAGGAGCTGAGACAAGAGGAGGTGAGAAGGAAAAGGAGAAACAAGAAGAGGTGAGACAGGAGGAGGTTGTAGGTTTTTAAGCTCACCTCAACCGCAGCTTTAGCCTGAAAAAACTCGTCCTCCAGAGACTCATTTTTGACCAGCAGAGATCGAGTCCGTCTGCGAGGTTTGGACACTCCCCAGTCCTAAAGACACACACAAAGACACAGACTGAGAGACACAATGAGAGACTCACACACAGAGACGCACACTGAGAGAGACAGAGACACACACTGAGACACACACTGAGAGACACACACTGAGAGAGACACACACTGAGACACACACTGAGAGACACACTGAGAGACACACACTGAGAGAGACACACTGAGAGAGACACACTGAGAGACACACTGAGAGACACACTGAGAGACACACGCTGAGAGACACACACACTCGCACATATACAAGAAAACAAAAGATTCACATCTTAAAACCTAACTCAGAGCTGCTTCGTCCCAGGGTCCCTGAACTACACACTATTCAGGCCATCAGCTGTTTAGTGGAAACAAAGATTTTAAGTTTATTTAGCATTAATTGATCCCAAAGTTTCTAATCCAAACTCTGAAACAAATGTGTGTGAAATATGAAATTTGTGTAGAAAGTTTAGGGATTGAAGTTCTGAGAAGAAAACGGACCTGCGTTGAAGAAATGAAGTCGAGATCATCGAAGCTGTGGATGTCTAACTTTGTCAGTGGGTCCGTTTTAAACTCTGCAGACCTGAAGAAGAACAGATGTTGGTCCCACCCCGCTGACCCATCATGGATACATAAATAAAACTGAGTGTCATCAGCGTAACAGAGGAACATTTGTCCCATGCTTCTACTAATCTGACCTAATGGAAGCAGAAAAAAAGTGTTTTGGTCCAAACAGAGAACCCCGAGGAACTCCAGGACCAATTCTGGTGTGAAGAACAAACAGTAAAGATGGTCAAACAACACGTTCAAACCTTTGGAGTAAATGTTTGAGTTTTTCTTGCAGTTTGAAAGAATGTTGTTTACGTTTTGTTTCCCACAAACAGTCACAGAACAACGAAAGAGTTTGTGGCAACAGTTCATCCTCTGGAGAACAGGGCCAGAATCAGAAAACACATTTTTCTTTTTTTTTTCCAAGTAACATCAGCATTATTTCAGTCTTAAAGAGGTCAGTGAACGCATCACTGTGTTGGTTTGTTTACCACAGGACTTCACTGGACGAGTGGTGGGACGTGCATCTGGTCTTGCATCTCCCACTGTGTCCCCCATTCTCCAGGTCCAGATTTACTTCATCCCATTTGACTAGAGGAGACGACAGACTGACTGCAAACACATCAAAACAACAACTGTCAGACTGACTGTAAACAATATCAAAACAACAACAACTGTCAGACTGACTGTAAACAATATCAAAACAACAACAACAAGGGTCAGACTGACTGCAAACACATCAAAACAACAACTGTCAGACTGACTGTAAACAATATCAAAACAACAACAACTGTCAGACTGACTGTAAACACATCAAAACAACAACTGTCAGACTGACTGTAAACAATATCAAAACAACAACAACAAGGGTCAGACTGACTGCAAACACATCAAAACAACAACTGTCAGACTGACTGTAAACAATATCAAAACAACAACAAC